GGCTACTTTGCATTGAAGAGCCTGGTGCTTGCCCTTTACCAATGTATTCAAAATAATCTATCCATCGAGAATACAAAGCAAAAGACCCTTAGACTCCTTATGTATTATTACTACACCAGACAGTGTCTTTCTATTTAATGCTGAATTCATATGCTCCGCCATCGACGCGCGTGAGAGCAGAGGACAAAGGCAGCTGAGGTGCGACGACGCCGACGAGAACACTTCGAAAATCCGAATTGGGCAGTCGACGAACGTCGATAAACCGGCAGTAAACCGACGCGTCGTTAGTCGCTTAGCTGCCTTACATAATTCCGGTAAAACCTCGGACGACGAGTTGGGCCAGCCGTCTCAGAGCGTCCTCATCCTCACTAGTCGTCTTAATTAGGAAACACATCTATAAATAAGCTGCATTATATAAGCCCTATTACATAACATCTTCACATATGCCCTAGCAGAGAGGATCGAGGACGCGGAGACGGATGGTTCTAGGAGCCTGCACTGCACCACGAAAGTTGCCTAGAAAGGCGACAAAATGAGCGCTTATGGCTAGAAAAGGCAAGATGTCGACGACATCATCTCCAAACCGGGTCTTTTGCCGTCCCCAGGACCCCAGCGTCTGAGCTTCGAAATAGCAGCTCACTATTCCAAGAATAAGGATTCGTGGTATATCCTCCACCGAATGGGCTCTATTATAAAATAATAATAAGTACTAATTTGCACGCACTTGTGGCCCAATGGTCAAGGCGTCCGCTTCCTATGTATATTGCTTACATAATAGCGGAAGATTGTGGGTTCGAGTCCCACCTGGTGTAACCGGTTGAAGTGCTATTTTTCCTGCTCCAAACAACCTCAAAGTCACCCAGGAGGACTTCCTTTTGTTTATGAAGTATACAGCAAGTTTGGCAAGGCCTGTCATTTGTTCAGCGCCCTTAACAGTTTCTTTGTAATCACGTCAAGGTTATATTGAATCAGATTGTGGGTTCGAGTCCCACTTGGTGTAATATTGCTTCTTCCCAACACCCTCAACGTCATACAGGAGGGACTCTTTTTATTCCCGGAGGGTACAGCAAGTCTGAGACGACCTATGCTTTGAGCAGCGATTCTCGCTATCGAGTGTGGCCACATGTCCCTCTACCTTCTGCCAGGTAGTGTGCCATAATTCCTTTCTTTTGCGCTCAATCCAACGTCTTCCGCAGATCACTCTGGAGCGCGCCATGCTATCCGCGCTCCGATTCGACCCTAAAAGGCACATATAAAAAACTCCCCGTTGTGCCATCATGCCACAGGCAGTATTATTTTTTTTTTTGGACAAGCGATATTATTATCTAGCAACTGACTATAGGTACAGCCCTACATAATACGCTATAGCGGATTGAGAACAATCCGGCCTGAGGAAAAATGCCTTTACGCACGACCTCCGGCGGGGGCCGGAGAGTGTGGGGCTCGAGAGAGCACCTGGATGCTCCTTTGAGTCAGAGTCCTTGGTGTCCTAATACCCACTAAAACCTCGGGGCGGGCGGCCCAATCTTCGGGTAAGAATTGTTCGTTATCTAGGGTATTTTGCCAGGTGGCTTTTACGCGGTCTGCAGCTTGTGGGGTACGTTTGATCTTACTGGCTGTGACGCGGTCGATTTGTAGTCTTCGGTTGATGGCATTCCGCCATCGTGATTGGATGGAGGAAGGTGAGTGGTTACGGTCTTGGATAACCCGTTCGCATCGCAGAACCCAAATCAGGTAAAGTGATTCGGATACTAGGATTTGGAGCAGGCGAGATGCTCCAGGGTTGCGCTTCGCAGCGCGGGGGGGTTCATTGTTGCGCCTGTCAGTCATTCCATTCTGCTCTTCGTTGTTAAGGGGGAAGGAGAGTTTTCCGCACCCTAGCAGTGCCCCGTAATTCAGGGTAGGCCAAGGTCCATAGTTCGCGGGCCATATATCGGCCGCTAGGAGCCATACGATTCGTCGCGCAGGTGAGAGGCATTCTAGCAAAATATGGTCGAGGTTGTCTGAGCTGTCTTCACAGGTAGGGCAGATAGCCCGGTCCTGGTACCCCGGAATGGGGGACCAGGAGTCACCTATGCGGTAGGCCTGTTGTGTGGCTTTAAACAGGAATTGTTTTATTAAGGGGCGGAAGTTAGGGTTCCGGCACGAGAGCCAGAGTTGCTTCGGCGTTTCGCGAGAGCCCGTAAGGTCTTCCAGTCCATCTTGGACGCGCGATATGGTGCGCGTGGTTGTTTTCCTAGGCGGGGAGCGTGGGGAGAGCTGGTGCCGTAGGGTGCGGTATGCTATGCGTTGGGTCACTGCGGAGAGTTTGGCGCCCTGGAGATTGAAGTTGGGTGGGATGGATAGGTCAATTTGGTCAGGATGGTCTTTATGGGCTCCTTCTTTTGCTAGCTTATCCGCTTCTTCATTGCCAGAAATGCCGCTATGGCCTTTGACCCACTGAAAGGCAGTAGTAGCTGATCGGCGTCGGAGTTGATAGGCTGCGACGCGAAAGAATGCGCTATTGGCGATGTCTATCCAGCCTTGGTCTTCCCAGGTTTTAAGGTGAGTGGTGAGTCCATCTATCGCGTACATTGAGTCCGTGATGAAGGTGATAGGCGCGAAGGGTGGCGCGGTCTGTAGTGCCACTATGATGGCTACTAACTCTCCTACTTGGTTGGATTGTTCCGGGCCAGGGATACGGATGGCTCTATTTAGGGGGTGGTCGGGGCGGACGTATATTCCGCTGCCTGCCCTGGCGTTTGCTTTACCGTTGTCTAGGCAGGAGCCGTCGGTATAGATGGTGAGATGCTCTCTCTGAACGTTTAGGCCTGGTGCCGGGGCTTCGAGCCGGTAGGCTGGGTCTGGCGAGACCAGTTTGGGGTCTAGGAAAATGCGGAAGCAGTCCGCCAGGCTGGTCCTTATAGTCAAGGATGGGTCAAAGACTACCGCTCCTCTTTCGGCCCGGGCCTCACGGTTCTTTTCTAGGCGGTGATGCGTTAGGGTAAGGTTGTCATCGGGACCTTGGGAGAAAGTGTTCGCTATTGGTGATAGTGTGGAGAGTATGGTGAGTGCCATTTTTGCACATTGGTGGGGGTTAAGACAGCCATGGGTCCGGTCAAGTTTGCAGTCATGGCAGGCGCAACGTCGTAATGGGAAATGCGGGCGTCGCGAAGGAGGGTCGTATAGGCGTTTTGCTGACCTGATTAGGTCACCAACACGCCCAGCTGTTACGGAATGGTTGTGGGCAAGGCAGTCGATCTTAGGGGCACGATATGTTTTTGGTGGGGTCCCAAGGTGGTAGAATGCTGGGAGTTGGCGCTTGAGGTTGAGGGATAGTTTGGGTGGGGCAAAGGCGAGTCCGTGTTCACGAGCGGCTTTCAACATTTTAATCGCATAGCGCGGTAGGTTCACGGCTCGTGGGCCTTGTGTGGGGGCAGACCATTTTTGCAGGAATGTGTTCAGTAGAGCCCTGGATGTGATGCCTTCAGGCGCAAGTTGGTTGATGAGGATATCGAGGACGAAGGCCCATACGGGGCGGGAGGGGCTGAGGTCCAGGTAGTCCCGGAGCCAGGTGAGTTCGATCGCCGCATTCCTGGTTTTTAGGTCAAGGAGGTTAATGCCGCCATCTGACTTATCTTTATACAATTGGTCAAGAGCGAGGGGGGGGTTCGGAGTATCATTCCAGATGAATCGTCGGGTGAGTTTAATCAGGGCTGTGACAATGTTTGTGGGCATTCCTTGAACCTTAGCTAGGTATTGGGTCATTCCCCCTATAGTCCACTGAACCATTAGTGCTTTGGTAACAAGTGTTGGATGGCTTTTCTGGAATTTGGTAAGGGTGTGTTGTATCCTGTCTAGGATGGGTTCCCAGGGTGTAATATCATTGACTTTATTGCCTATCCATGCACCAAGGGAGCGTACTGCCTCGCCATCGCATGCGATGTGGATAGAGTGGGGAAGTGATGCATCATCAGTATGTAATTGACGTGTGGTTGTCACGCGCCGTCGGTGAGTGGCCGAGCCTATTGGTATGATTTCGGTTTTGTTTTTGTTAAATTTGGCGCCTGACGCGCAGCACCAGGCATTGAGCAGATTTTGCAGGTCGTCGAAGCGGTCATTCTCGCGGAGGTATATGGTGGTATCGTCAGCAAATAGGGTGACAAGGACATTGTCGTGGATGCCAGGGATGGAGTAGCCGGACAGTAGTGGTGAGTCGCGCAGCATACAGGCTAATGGCTCGATCGCTAGGTTGAATAAGAGACATGATAAGGGGTCGCCTTGGCGTACGCCCCTTGTTACTCGGAATGGTTTACTCTGGACCCCGTTTATCATGACGCAGGTGTGTGCGTGTTCGTATAGTGATTTAACTGTGTTGATAAAGAACGTCGGGAGTTTGAATTTAGCAAGCGTGTCCCATAGGTATTTATGGTCAATCCGGTCATATGCTTTTTCTTGATCTAGTGCGATAATGGTGCCGTTGTCCTCGGTGGCCTCAGCAAGGTCTATCATGGCCTGGGACAGGCGGACGTGGTTGAAGATGGATCGGCCAGGGACAAAGCCAGCCTGGTCTTTGTGGATCAGCTGTGGTGCAACATCCGCAAGTTGGAGAGTGAGTGTTTTGGTGAATAGTTTATAATCGCAATTGAGGAGTGTGATAGGTCGGTAATTTGCTATATCACTTCTGTCCTTCTTTTTGAATATCGGGCACATCCAGCCGGCAGTGAAATCTGTCGAAGGGTCAACACCATGGTATTGTATGTCATTGAAGACTCGCGTAAGGACGGTGACTACATCAAAGGAAGGCTCTTCATCTTTTACAGCACGTTCATGCATCTCATTCAATTTCTTCCATAGTTCGTATGGGATGCCGTCGAGGCCCGTTGCGGAGCCCGACTTGGATAGGCTCAGGGAGTGCGCAACTTGGTCTGGCTTCAGGGCATTTGTAAGCTCTGTTTTTGTTGTAGAAGGTAATTGTTGAGATAAAGGTATTGCGTCTAGTGCATCCTCTTGGGCGAGGTGCCGTGCTTCCATTGGTCGGGTTTCCTGGTCTGCCAGTTGTAGGTTATCGTGGTAGGTGCTTGCGACATTGGCCATCTGGTCTGATCTAGTTACAAATTGGGGGGGGGAGGTGTCTGGGATTTTTAGGCTATGTATTAGGTCCCGGGGGGATTTCACCTGCAGGACCCTAGAGAGGTATTTTGATGGTGTTTCGCCTTTGTCAGCCCATCGGGCATGGCCATTTATTTGAGCCGTTTTGAAGTGTTTCTTATGTAGGTGTTCAATTTCACTCTCAAGGAGAGCGGCGTTAATGCGCAAATCTTCGTTGGTGTCAAGGTCAGGGTGGTTCTGGGTATGCTTAAGGTCGTGCTCAAGGGCTTTGATTTTGTGTGTAATACGAGCAAGAGTGAGTTTTGCATGTGCCTTTGCAATTTTGGTCATAGTTATCTTAAAGTCTTGCCATAGGCGTTGTACATTATGTGTATCCGAGCGCATGAATGTAGGGTCTTCAAGTGTCAGTTGTAACACAGCGCCTATTTCGATTATTTTGTCCAATAGGTCTTTGTCGCGGATCAGGCCAAGCGGCCAGGTCCAGCGCCCATCCCCAATGTACGGGGAGTTGACCGGTGCATATCGGAATGTGGTTAGAGCATGGTCGGATGGGACGACTGATGCTGATATTTCCCAGTTGCGGATACTCGGGAGGTGTTGTCTCTGTGTGTAGACTCTGTCTATGCGAGATAGTCGGCCTTGGTGGCTGTGGTAGGTGAATGTCCGCTCATTTGCGTGGTCAATACGCCATGCGTCCACCAGGTTGAGGGTGAGTCTTGTTTCTCGGAGGGCGTTGGTCGCTTGAGGCGGGTCAGCATGTGGTGGGGATCTGTCAATTTGGTCTTCAACTATATTGAAGTCCCCCATCATGAAGGTCGGTTGGGGTAGGCTGTTGTCTGTCCAGTATGATTGGATGGTAGACCAGAATGGTGCGTGTTGGGCATAGTCATTCGGTGCGTAGATGTTTAGTATGGAGAATTGTTCCGACTTATGCCATTTTGTGGTCAGAAGGGCGGCTCGGCCCGGTATAATTTCAGTAAAGGTAATGTCAGCCGTGTTTGTTATTTCACGGTTCAATATGAAGGCAACACCTGCTGATGCAGTGGCACGGGAGGGGTCAGGTGAGTTTAGGACTTTTAGTCGTTTTTCATATAGTTCATGTATATCCGCTACGTAGTTCCTGTCTAGGTGTGTTTCCTGGACGGCAAGGATGCCGATGCGTTTATCCCTCATCAGGGCATGGACGCTCGACCATTTGGAGGTTGGCGTATGACCGAGGTGGTTGGAGTGTCGACCGTTCATGTTCAGTGAGCCTAATGTGATATGTGCTTTTGTGTTACGACTGATGTTGTCTTTCCGTAAGTTTGTCATGGGGGAAGGGTGCTCATTTTCGTACAATGCATTCATGAAGGGGAGGTCTAGATCTGCGTCAAGCCTGAGGTTGTTCAATGTGCTGGGCTGCACTTGGGGGGGCTGGGGTGCTCCTCGGGAGGAAGGGGAGTGTGGGGTGGGTGACTGGGGTGCCTGTATGGGTTGATGGGAGTCTGCCCTCGGTGAGGGTGGTATACCGTGAGCCGCCGGCGCGGACTCGCCGCCAATCTCCTCGGACGCATCGACATGGGAGTACCTGGCGAGTATGGGTATTCCCACTCCTCGTCCGGGGAGGCACGTACCATTACCTGTTACTGAACCAGTCGATATAGTGTTAGAGATAGATGTAGCAGTTGGTATACTTAGCCCGCTTTCAACCAGGGGTCGGGCCAGGGGTAGCATATACCGGCTATCACGGTGAGCTATGCATAGGTGTGTGTTGACGCGAGTCCCGGGTCGCATCCGTCGACACCAGCTTCAGTCTCTCGACACGGCACGCTCAGACCTAAATAGGTCGCCGTTGGTGGGCCAAGGCCGAGGCCGGAGGAGATACTACGCTTTCCCGTCCCGCGAGCGGTCGGTATATGTGGGCGCGTATCAAGGTTGTTCATGGACGCATATCCGGCGCGTGGTCATGAATAGCCGTACCGTGGACGCTATATGGGTGACGTCGGGTCGTTGCGTACACAGCAGGGGGGTTCTGGGCCATAATCAATGTATTGTGCAGTACCTTACATTGTGCTATGGGGGTATACATTTTCTACGGCAATGGGGAGGACATGGGTGGGGGATCGTCTATTATAGGCATGGATGGGGTTAGGGGTAGAGACGGAAAGGATACGGGAGCAGAGACAGGGAGATTACATCGAGCTTGTGTTGAGACAGTATCGAGGGCATTCCATAGGTACCCGGCGCCAAGGTCAGGCTAGGCTATACGTGGAGGTGGAGAAATGGAGTGGTGGACAGTAGGTGTTCGCTCATATAGTAGGACGGGAGTGGACGATTAGGGTAGTGGAGCGAGGGTATTGTGAGCGGGTCTTGCTGTGCATGAGGCTGTTAAACGCCTGGGATGCCGGGTGTCGCCGCCGGCGGTGGAGGCGGGGAACCTGGGCCAGACATTCCACCGCGTCCACGCCCGCCCCATCCGCGGCCACGGCCGCGACCATTGCCGCGGCCTCGGCCACGGCCTCTACCCCGCGCACGCTGGGAGAAGTGAGTTGTGTGGGGTTCGTCTTTGGTGATCCAGGAGCTCTCGTAGGTGGGTCCATTCCATCCCTCAATCTCTGAATAGGGGCATAGACCACGAGGGTGGGTGATACAGTGGCAGAGAGAGCACGGCGAGAGAGGGACAGCGTGGCCAGTACCAAGGCGGGCAGTGGGGAACTTCTGGTGGAAGATCATCTCACGCGTCTGGTACCAGACCGGGCGTGAGGTGTTCGGCGAGCGCTCCGCAAGTACAATGTATCGGGGGGTAAGGATGTTGCCCGGGGCATGGAGGTCGATACGGAGCACGGAAACCGAGCGGGCGAGATTGTTGGCGCGGGCAGCCATCTCCTCGTCCGTGGCGAGGGGGTCGCGGTCAAGCACGCTGCGGAGCAGCCAGTGGTAGGGTTCACTTAGCAGGAGGTTCTCAATGGCGAGGCGGACAGCGGCAGAGTCAGTGGAGGTGAAGCCGTCAAGGGCAACGAGGATGGAGTCTGTTGGTTCAGGAGCAGGTATGGTGTAGAGTTGGACAGTCGCCCGAGGGTGTGAGATGATGTAACGGGCTAGGAGGATGGGGATGACTCCGAGGGGGACACCGAGTACATAGAAGGCGAGGGGATTGTCCAAAGTAGGGTCTGCCGGCGTCGACGTGGTCACAGTGATGTCATCTGTGTTTTCGTGCGAGACTGCCTGGACGAACTCAACAATGGTGGTGCAGATGCTCGCTGCAGCCTCCGCTCCACGGGATTCAAGGTCTCGGCCACTCCAGTTATGGAGGATGGCGACTAGGACCGGGGATGGGTGCTCGAGGATTTCCCGGAGGTGTTCTGGGGATTGGTTGCGTACGAGCTCCGCGTGCGAGTTTCGGTACGTCTGAGGGAAACCACCCGGAGGAGGGGAGGTGAAGGAGGCTAGCGTGGACTGGTGGCTGGGGGTTTGTTGGCCCGGTGTATGGTCATTGATGGCCTGGAGATCCGCCTGGTAAGCACTGATTAGGTCGGTTGCTGACAGCGCTGGCGCGGTAGCACCAAGCGGTTGGGTTTGTTGTTGCGCAGGAACCGGGGGGGCTGTGCTAGTGCCTGCTGGGGGAGGCAGGGCTTGCGTTGGGAAGGTGGGCGGCGCTCCGGAGTGCGGGGGTTGGGCGTTCGTGGCTGGGGTCTGGATTTGCCCATCATCATCGAGTTGCATGGCAAGGGGAGGTGCCGTGGCGGCCGATTCCACGGGCTGCATGGGTGGCACGTTAGGTAGGTTGGTGTGATGTGTTTATAGGACATACCGGCGGGTGCGCATTCACCAGCGTTGCCAGCAGCGGGTCGTGCAGCTCGGGGTTGTTGTGGTTAGGGCCTCGTGGTACCAGGGGAGGTTGGGTGGTGCTACTGCTGGGTGCCGACCCTACGGTTGGCCTGGACATGGAGCCGGACGGTCCTGCGAATGTATACAGGTGGAAGGGGGGCATGGTCGAGGGGGGTCGGGCTGCGATTCTTGCATAGGAGCGTGGGACATTGGGCTGCTTGTGGGCGCTCGTACTCTCGGTCGCAAGGGTCTCCGGTCCGGTGGTGCTTTGTTGGGGTGTTCCAGTCGGGGCCTGCATCTCCCGTCCCTTCCCTTTCGGGTTGGGGACAGGGGCTTGTTGGTGTTCAGCGGTCGTGGTCGATGGAGGGTGTGGGTTGGGCTCGCTCGCGGTGTCAGTGATAATGGCGGTTGGAGCCGGCTCGGGACCTAGCGCTGCATCAAGGAGATTCGTTGGGGCCTGGACACGAAGCGGTGTCGGGGTGGTCTCCATGTCCATGATATAGGCGTCGTCTTCGGAGGGGAGGAGTTGTGAGGTCCGGAACGGCGAGACCGGCAGGTATTCTGTATGATAATGTAGGTCGGTCGTTGGGTGAATGGTATTATACATACCAATGTCGTCACTCGGCGGCAGCTCATCGGCCTGCTGCTGTTCGCGTTGGGCCTGTTGGTTTTGTAGGAGTTCGTTCGCGGTCACGAATTCAGCGTTGGGTGGCGGGGCCGTAGTGGTGTCTTGGCCTGCCATAACTTCGCCGGCGCCGGAGCTTAGACGGGAGGAATGTCGGCGGCTGACGGGGCGATTTATTGCTTTTTTGGTCGCCGTTTTGATTGAGCTTGGGGCTCGTTCTTCCGGCATCGCTGTGCTTGTGTTTGGGATTGTGGGCGTGGGTCGTGGTGGGGTAAAGATAGACGTGGGCTCGATTGGGGATGCGGTATCCTATGCTTTTTCGAGGGTGGGAAACTGTATAGCAGCATGTCGGGATATGCCGGGGTTGCTGGTGAGGGGGGGGAGTTAAGGGGATTGGTTGGGGTATATGATTTCAGGCTGGGTGGGCTGCTAGGTGGATACAGGATAACTCATAGTATGTTCAAGGGGAGGTGTTTATAGTAGGCTGGCATGGTAGATTTGAGAGTGGATAAGGGGTAGATGTATGTGGAGCAGGTGTGGGTATGGGGTAGGGTTCCAAGGCGGAGGAAGGTTGGAGGATTGGCGTCGTCGGGTTGCGTTTACGCCGTTGTGGGCGGCGTCGGGGTAAATATGCTTTTTGGACATATGCTCGTCCCAGGACGTCGTCCTGGGGGGTGCTTTGTTGTTGCAACGGGTTCGAAAACCCGTCTCCTTGTCCCTTTGGGCGTGGGAATCTCCGACCATGGTGGTGGTGCGAAGGCAAGGAGCCCCCCACAGGCAGTATTAGGCTAGTGCATATTTCCGATACAGCATAGGGAAGTCCCCCCTTAGCCCGCTTTTGGAAGTGAACCCCACCCAAACGAGTAGCTGGGGCGCCGCAGCAGTGGTAAACCACGTGCGTGGACCTTGCCGAATATACGGCAAAGAACTTCGTGCTGTTGACTCCTTGTTGTGCTCGCAGTACTATAACCTAGTAGTTGTAATTTATCCTGTAGATAATGTACCAGGAGGAGCTACTGAGCTTTGGGACTCCCCATTGGCAGTAGGAGACAGTCTGAAAAGCTACAGTTCTCTCAGCGTGATTTTTGATCCCAGTAAGGCTTCTACTGGGCCACATTTAGTGCCTCGACCCCCCCACTTTAAAGGAATTGTGTACATGAGGTTCTATGCGCTCTTGCGCATTCAGCGCGTACGTTATAGGCAGTATAACCCTCGGTGTAGGGTAGAGGAAGCGTTGAAGAGGTCGAGACTATATACGTGCCGAGGTCCGGCAGATGCCAACCAATGTGCACCTGCCG